TTCTGTATTAATAAACTTTTATTATAATATTTCTGAAATTATAAGATTGAAATTCTATGAGATAAAAATCACTATATAACAAAAACTATCTAATATCCCTAATCAAACTTCAAATTATTTATAAATAATTTAATAACAATTTAAATAAAGGAATTTATTCAGAAATCTTATTTTTAATTAATCATTTCATTCCTTTTAATTATCAAACCCAAAGAAAATATTTGAATTTATTAAAATTATTAAGAATTAAATAATATTATTATTAAAAACTAATACTCTTTATTATTAATTAAAAAATTCTTGATATTTTTTATTATATCAAAATCTATATCAAATTTAATATTATTGCTATCTTTAATAAACTATAAATTATAAAAGATTATAAATAAAAAATCATTTTTATTATTTGTTTTAATTTATTCGAATTATTAATAATACTTTTCAAATTTTATAATATATTTATTTTATTTTAAAATTATATCAATTATATTCTTTTTAATCTTTTAAATAAAATTTATATAATATATTTAAATAATATTCTTATTTATTTCAAAAATATTATAAATTATAAAAAATATATCTACAAGATAGTTTAATAATTAATTGATATTAAATTATAAATTGATATTAACAAATATAAATTCGAAACAAAAAGAATTAAATATTTCAATTTGATTATTACTTTAGAAAATATAGAAATAGATTTGAAAAAAATCAATATTATATTCAATTAAAAATTACTAATTAAATTCAAAGATTTTCAATATTTTCTTAATTTTATTAATTTTTATTAATATTTTATTTATAATTTTTCTAAGATTATAAAACCCCTCAATTATTTTCTAAAAAAGAAAAAGATATAAAATTAGATTTTTAATCAAAAAAATGCTTTTAAAATATTGAAAACTATTTTTTTTTTTTTTAGTTTTTATTATATTTGATTACTATTATTATATAATTATAAAAATTAATATTTTTAATTAAATTACAAAGAGTATTCTTTTATAATATAATAATAAAAGATATTTATATTTAATAATATATTTTTTATTAAAATATAATATTATTGAATATAATTATAAAATTTATAATAAAGAATTTCTAATTATTATAAAATTATTAAAAGAATAAAAATTAAAATTATATAAAACTCAAAAATTATTCGAAATTATTATTAATTATAAAAACCTTAAATATTTTATATTAACAAAAATATTAAATTAATAATAAATTAAATAAATTAAATTCTTATTTGAATTTAATTTCTATATTATATATTAATTTAATTACAAAATTATTTGTTTTAATATTTTGAATTACAAAATAAAAAATTATTTAGTATATACCAATCCTAATAATAATCGAATCAAAAATTGCTTATAAATAATTCTTTTAAAAAGAATATTTAATATTATTATATTCAAAGATATTATTTAATAAACAAATAATATTTTAAATCTAATTATAATCTCAATAAATATAATCATTCCTAATATTAATAAACTAATCAATAATTTTATTAATAAAATATATAAATCATTTAAACTGATTATTATTATATATATAATACTTAGAAATCCCTTTATTCATTATTAATTATTAGAAATTCGAAAAAATCTTTAAATAATCTTATAAGATTATAGATTAATAAATAACAAAATCTTTTATTATAATTATTTTTTTGTTTTTCTTTTTATTGAATTTTATATATAGATTATATATCGAATATATTTAATCAAATTAACTAGATATTCTGGTTATATCAAAACTATTGATTTTGTTTTTTATATATATTAATAATCCAATATATCAAAAGAAATTGAAATATTTGTATAAACTTATTAAATTTGTTTTCGAATAAAAACTTTTTGTTTTATTATATTCAAATTCCTTGAATTATTATTAATATTATTTTATTTCTAATTTGATATTTTTATTAATTATATCATACTATTATTAATTAATAAATATTATAAAAAGAAATATTAATATATTATTATAATTATTTATTATTTAATCAAAATATAATATTTTATATTAATTATAAAGCTATTTATAAAAAAATTTGTAAATCAATTTATTAAAAAGATCTATTATTTATATAATATATTTAATAATATTATATTCAATAAAAGTTTATAATTTGTTTTTAAATTTTGGAAGTATTTATTCAAATACTTATTAATTATTTTGAAACGATTTTTTTTATTCTATTCCAAATTCAATAATCAAACAAAAAGAATTAATATTATAATTAAATAATATCTTTATATTTTTATAAACTTTTATTAGAATAATTAATCTAATTAATTCTTATTTACAGAATTTATATTAAATAATATTATATTGGAAATTATTAATATATTCTTATTCTTTATTAATTATAATTTCTATTTATATTTTGATATTAAATTATTTATATTTATTCTATTGAATCTATTATATCAAAAAAAACAAAAGTTTTTTAAAATCAATAAAATTATAAATCAATTTAATTTCATTTTAATTAAATTAAAAGTATTTATAATTTAATCAATTCAGAAATACAAAGATTATATTAACAAAACCTATATCAATATTTTTTTATATAAAAAAATAAAAAAATATAAATAAATACAAAGAATATAAAAACTAATTGTTTAATAAAAAAAGATAATAATAAATAAAATAGTTTTTATAAAATTCTTAAAATTTACAAATATATTTATTTATTCCAATTCTTAATTAATTTCAAAATCTTTTTAATATTCTATAATTCATTATTCTAATTATTTCATTATTTATTAGAATTATTAGATTAGAATATTATCAATATTATTGAATTATATAGAAACCAAAACTAAATTCTTAAAAAAAACAATAAAATATATAAAGAAATTGAATAATAAGAATTCAAAAAAATCCTTGATTATTATAACAAAAATAGATTTTATTATCAAATCAAATAAAAATATTATTTAATATTTTAATAATCTATTAAAGATTTTTGTAATTAAAAAAATATAATTATTGCTTTTTATCTAATAAATTCAAGCAAACTAGATTTATTGATTTGAATAGATTTCAAAAGATCTATTATTTCTAATTTTATTGATTTTTTATTAATATTTATATCAAATATATCAAATATATTTTTAAAACAAAGTTAAAGTAAATCTAAAAAATTTTATTAATTAATTATTATTTCTAAAAAAGTTTATTTTAATTCAATAATAGAAATTAGAATATTTTGATTATAATTATAGATTAATCATTTTGAATAAAAAATATTATTACAATATTAATTATATATTCTATAATTGCCTTTATATCTCAAATATAGATTACTAGTGTGCCCTATCTCTTATAAATAGGGTCTTATTCTTTTATAGCTCTTTTACCCTTATAATATTATATAAGTTTTTACCCGTACCTTAATATATTTATTATTATTAAATTTTTTGAAAATAATAAAATACTTTTGATAAGATAAGACTTATGGATTATTACAAATAGCAATTTTCAATATTTTAATTATATTCTTTAATTTAATAATCTTTAATTGAATATTAATAATTTAAATTTATATTATAATGATTTAAACTTATGGTAAACTTATAATTAATTCGATTAACTCAAATATAACTTAAATAATTATAAAATATATAATATTTGAATTATTAAATAAATCTATAAACAAAGAGATATTAATTTCAATAAAATTAAGAATATAATTCAAAAAAAGGAATTATAGGAATAAACTAAATATAAATATTTAATTAACTATTTTCGGAATATTTTTGTAATTATAAAACAATTTTATAGAATTCCTAAATAATAATAATTAGGATATATAGTAAATTAGTAATAGATATAATCAATATAATCAGATTATGATTTTAATAGGAATTTAATTAAAATAAAGCTATAATAGTTTTTATAAAAATGATATAAATTATTATAGTATAGGTAAAGATTTATATTATATTATAAAGATAAAAGAGCTATAGAAAAATGAGATTCTATTTATAAGAAGTAGGGCACACTAATGGTCTATGCCTAAGGCACGAAGGCAATTACAGAACATGTAGTTAGCGCCGTGACAGTCCTACCTCAGAAAATAAAGACTAATAGTAAATGGAAACTTACTTTCTAGATATTCACCTAACGTAATTTAACACCGAGTAGGCCATATCACCGAATGAGTCACTTTGAAATATATTAAAATTAATGCTTTTTTAATATTTGTATTTTAATAATCAATCATTATTTTTAAAAAAAAAATTTATATAAAATAATAATAAAAATTTAGCTCTTTATAAATCTAGTTTTGATATAAAAATTTCTTTTATCTTCTAAAAAAAAGTAGAAATTATTACGATTTTTATTACAAAAGAAATATTTCTATAATAATTATTATAATAATTTGAATTTCCAATAAATGATTGGATTTTTATATTATTTATATAATTGAATTTTATGATTTCAATTTTTAGAAAATTCTATTCATAAATAAAGAAAGTGTATAGTTATATATAGACGAATTTTGTATGTAAAAATAATAACTCACTTAGTAATATAGCCCACTCGGTGTTAAACTACGTTATATGATTCAATTTTCATTTTGAATCATTCATACTGAAAACAAGCATTTCTTCTTCATTTTTAATTCAATCAGAATTATATATTTCACTTCATATATAGCTTTAACCTTACTCCTATATTAAATTTTCACACCTCCTTTTGCTCTTCCCACCCTCATCATCGAGGTCTCTCTTTGTAGGAGCCCATTTCTGTCTATAGTCCAAGCTACTTGAAGAAGATAATGAATTTCGATATTTGATGAATATTAACACAGATAATAATATCTCTGCGAATCAGACCTCAAGTCGAGGTCCGAGCAGATTAATATCACGTGATCAAGTCTCCACCTTCTTTTCCAACTCTGCCCGGGCAGAATTATTCTTGTATTCACGTACAATTATTGATCTTTTGGAGTTTGCTTCTCATGATCTTAAATTATGGCCATGGTATCTTCTAAAGCAATTCAGGACTTAGTCACTATTCTACGCCACGACTTTACTGTCGAATTGAACGCTTCATTAGCTTCGTTGCCACCTCAGTCTTCCACTTTTCTGAAGATACATGCTGAGATCTGCATCGATCAACCTGCGCCACAGGATCAGCTTGGAGGACACAAGTCTCAACCAATTTATTTAGTAAGATAGATTATCTACTTCACATCTGTTCAACCATTCAATCAGTAATTTTTCTAAACAGAGGCCTAGGGTTCAATTTCACTAGATCAAACCGAGTCACATGAACATGTAAATCAACAATGCACAATACCTGTGACTACAGGTCCTTCTCTGTTGCGTGATGATACGATGATGAAGGGGGTTGAATCGGCTCATAAAGTGCCTGAACTGCCCAGCATTCACCAATCCTCCTCCCTTGAGAAGAGGCGAAAGACTATCGGAGGACTAACGATCAGAAGAGGCGGTTGTGATGAGATGCCAGATGACTCTAGTACATCTTCTCAGGCAGGAAATTCAACTGTTAGACAGTTACAGACAGAATCCCGAGTGTTCCCTCAAAGAAAGAAGAGGAATGACCATGGCGTTCATCAATTGCAGCCATCCTCAGTTGAAAAGTTTGTTGCTGGAGTATGGAAACAAATATACAGTAACGTCGAGCTTGCACCCATTTTGCTGGTACTTCCGCCCTCAAATCACCGATTGATATGCTTGAAGTCTAGGCTGAAAAGTTTAACAGGATAGTGACTGTGTGCCAATGATCGCACGCGGCGGACCTAATATCGAGGTTAGTTTGGTGATTTAATATCCAATTCAGCTGCCTGACATTTCAACAGACGTTTCGAGCCATCAACTCACTCTGTCTAAAAATCACGACAGTAGCACGCCGGTGTCGCTCCTTAGAGACAATCATTCAAGCTCACTGGGTCGACTGCTTTGATTATCGAGTCAAAGAAATCGGAATCCAGAACCCATTTCTATCCAACACAGATACCAAAATGCTTGCTCTCCGAGAGGCTTGTACAATCCTTAAATGGTCAGAAAAGGAGCTGAGGAACAGACTGTGCGTATTACCTATAGTCTGGAGTTCCAAATCCAAGATCAATCATTGCATTGTATAATTACTCACTTAGCACCAATGAATCACCAAATCCTTTAATATGACGAAACAACAACTGATATTTGGCAGAGCAATCTGGCGAGGATACAAAGAAATTAAGGATGCAGGTGGCTGGGCCTGCTTAGCCTTTGCCGGCTCTGGAGTTTACAGACTCTGCAAATATCGCGTGGGCTTCGAAAAGAATCTCACAGCAAGACTTGAACGACTCCAATCTAGTCTAGAAGTAGCAGCCGATACAATCCACCCAGAATGGCGGAAACTCCTAAAATTCATAGGCATAGAATGTCAACCGGCATATACTGGGCATCCACATGACTGGGTCGTCTGCGACACAGCGAAACCTGTTACGCTCAAATCCACATACATGCAGTGGGACCTGGATTTTGAATTTTCGCACCTTGAGGAGTCCGTGATAGATCAAGCTGCTTGGGGTATTGAAGATCCGCGAATGGTGGAAAATTCTAGTATTGTATCTTGTCGTGATTGCGGACGCTTGCAATCGAATAACTCTTCTGTCAATGAATGCCGTTGTTTTCCAGAGTTATACGGGTGCTGCAAAGCACCTCCTCCTGTACAGGTTTTTCGTACTCCACGGGGAATGAACAACGGGATCATCGCACGTTGCGTAAGTACCGTGCTAACATCATCTCAAATTATTTAAAGTCCCACTAACAAAACATGCGCCTTAGGAATTTGGTCGCGGTTCAGCAATTGGCGAATTCGTAGGACTGGTTACTAAGGGAGTGGAAGGTAAAGATGTAATGCAAAGCAAAAGCACTGAAAATCAGTATCAAATTTACCAAGGACGAATGGGTTCGTTAACCATTGCCTCAACTCTTCCCTTCTATATCTAATATATTTATTTCAATAGGTAACTACACGCGCTTTGTAAACCATTCCTGCGCACCGAACAGCCAATTCCAGAAGTTTTACTGGCTGGGAATTGAACGTATTGTTTTGGTCTCTAAAAGGATTGAGGCTGGAGAAGAAATCACGGTAGACTACTCACATGAGTATTGGAAGGATCTCGATAAAGATTGTTTGTGTGGAGAGTTATGTTGCCGGTACGCAAGAAGGAGGGCACGTCCGTCTGCCACTTGATTTGGTTTACTCCACTCTTCATTACTATATAGGGATTGGATTCATTAGAGGTCAAAGTTTAGATCTTACGCGTGAATTTTTGTTACGGATTTGATCACATGTTATGTTGATTAAGAGATGCCCTTTCCAGTGTTTGTCTGCGAAGACTTGAGGGAAAGCCTAGATTTCTTCTTCTCCTCTTTTCATTCCAACCTTAGTTTCAAATTCTAGGGATAAATTACAGTTACCAATTCACTTCGTCACATGAAGATTTCTATTTGCTTTGTATTTTTTCTATTTTCAAAGTCAATATAGAAGCGAGAAGTTAAATTGACCTAGAGGCGTGCAAATATCTGCCACTACTGAGAAGTCTGTCTAAAAAAACGTTCCATCTTATCCTAATCTCATTGCGGATAACATGCAAGATGGAAATCAATTGACCAATTACTTTCACCCTTCAACCCCGAGAGCTATCTATCTCACACACTCTCTGAAGCATTATTCGTAACCTAACGACGATAGCTACCCTCCATCTGTCTTTGCATCCCGCTCATCTTTTTTCAAGATCTTCTCTCTAAATTATATTCACCAGGCGTCGGTTTCCCAGTAAGTTTCGGAGCACCGCCTAAACTTGCCAGAACGACTTTGTTATTAGCTGTTAGATCGTCCATGACCTCGAGCTCTTCTACAGTAAAAAAACGTGGCATTACGGCCCATCGGAAGGGAATGAGAATGCAGACCAGTATTGGAAAGCCTGTATAGAAAGATTGTTGTTAGTGTTTTGAAGTCTCTTGAATATCGGGTGATGGAAATATACCAATTGCAGCAATAGTTAGTGAGATTGCTACTGGGGCAGCTACACCAACAATTTGACACAGTAAATAGAGCCAAATCTTGCGCCTCTTGACTTGGAGAAGAGGCTCTCCTTTCTGAATGAAGCGACGTTCACTAAAAAGAAATAGTAGCTTCTGCGTTATGCCGTTGGTCTCAATTGAACCCCACTATTGGTATTGAATCTTGGTTAGATATCTTAAAATAGGAAGGGAAATTTTGAAGGGGAGGGAGTTTTTGTTGAGAGAAGAATGTATCTTACACCGACGACAAAAAAAACACCACTAAATAGTGCTCGTGGCATCGTGTGCAGCACGATTAGGAGGGGTCCAGTCATGGTGCCAATTATGCCGAGACCCATCAAGAAATGCGAAACGCGCTGCTCGACTACACTTGCGGCTTTAACGATTGGGCGACGGATCTCGTTATCCGAGCCTTCTTCGGTAAGAATAATCTTTACTTCGGTTTCGTAGACTGTGAGTGATTCTGTGTGTACAGGCGCCTTCCAATAAGGTCAGAGATTGATGTCTTCAAAGGATGGAATCTGATTTACTTGTGGCACGAGGCCATTTGGAAGCGGTATACCTAGGATACCTGCAATAAATGTTGTGCAGCCAAGCAGGAAAAAGTCCCAGTGAAAGCCGCCTGGTTTCTTAAGAGGAAATTGCTTTGCTTGTGCAGTCAAGCTACTGACGTTCTATTATAAAAGTTAACTCTGTAAGCCAAGATTCGAGGAACAAATACAAACATGATCGTAATAGAATAAAAGCATGACTAGGAATCCAAAGGGCATAGCGGCAAATACCCATTTCGCATCGAGATTCCAGAAATCGATAAGCCAACTTCGAGGCTGCGTGGGATGGAAGGAGCGATTAATGGGTAAGACACTGATATTTGCTCTTTCGATGGTCCCTGGAATGTGTGAAAATCCAACCCAAAAGATAGTCGCGATCTGGAAACACTATTAGAAAACGACTCAAGGTGATAAGTTTGTCAAAACTTACAGGGTATGCATAGTCAGCAAGTATTCCTCGAGCCCATGGCTTTGCCAACGTTCCACGGCCAATCTTCTCCAAGGCATATACGGTACCAAAATACAGGATTGCAACAACACAGCTCAGATATCCATCCACGCTTCCGTATGAATCAAACAAGCTGACCAGCTCCTCGACTCCTTTGACTATATTACTTTAAGCATCAATTTTGGAAGAAGAAAACACCGGAAAACTCACTCATATAGACAATGCCGACATACATGCCAAAAGCTTCGCTAGAAAAATCGGTGACATAACGCACGTAATCACAAAGATTCCAGATAGCGACTAACCAATGCCAAATTGCAGCCCAAATGGCGGTCCAAGCCATAAACTGAGGAAATATAGAGACATCATACATCTTTATAATATCGTATATAGTGTAATTGAACAATGAGATCAAACCGGTGATACCAACGATAGTCAAAGGCTGTGCGGAAATGGTACTGAACACCATTGCCGCAAGAGCGGATGAAAAAAGTGCTTCATTGATTCCATAGAAACCACCAGTTCGGCGGTTCATATCCAAAGTGTAGGCTAAGGCGGGAAGCAGGCTTTTTACACACTGTCAGCAAGGATTTCTAAAAAGGGATGTCTTAAGGGCTCGAACTTGACAAAGTACATTCGCACAGTACTTGCAACAGTGCGGTAAGTTACAGCGTCTGCAATGTCACTTTGGTAGTATGGTAGTCGACGGCGAATATCATGATACATTCCTAGACCAGGACGCAACATTCGGAATCGCCTGCATCCTGTTGAACCATCGAATCTGTAATTGTCCGAATGTTGAGATGAATTCGAGTTTTGCTGCTGTGAATCAAAGCACATTTTCTCTTCGCTAGGTAGTTTTCCGGTCGCTATGTCGCCTGTCGAGCAATCTGGCCCGCTACTCGAAAGGCCGTCGACCGATGTAGCATTAGATCTCTGCATTTTGGAACAATTCAGAAGCACAGTCGAAGTGAAGGAAAGTAATGTTCGATAAGACTAAAGTCGGAAGGAAAGAATGATGCTTTATAAGTAAAAAAAGACACCTAGGCTCAAGTTATCAGGGGAAATGACTGAATGCCAAGCCGCTAAGATCTTGACGGGCTCTTCACTACCTAACCCAGATACATCATCCACACTCGTACCCTCCATCTCTTACTACGAGTCACAAATTAATCTGCACTATATAATTGTGAATTAGAGTTGATTAGGCTAAATTATGTGTTTCGAAAATTATTAGTTCCCATCCGTGATGGCAGATGAAAATCAGAAAACCACATAAAAACGTCATTTTTCTGCTTGGGCAGAATGACATACTCGCTTACCGGTGTTCTCAACGGGCAAAAACAGAAAACTTGATACAGATTTTTAGCAGGTATCATATTGGCCTTCGGAGTACTAACACGCTTACGGAAAGCGTTATTACACCAAGCCCGCATAGGAGTTCGTTATCTCACTGGAGAAAAAATCTTAATATGTACCGGTATTTTACTATTACCAAGCATTTCTTGCGCCCAGGCGAGCTGGGCAAGCAATGACCCTAAAAGATAGTTTCCGATCTACATTACCACTGCTTCTAAAAACACAATCGCTCATTAAAAAGCGCAGCAACTCGCTTTCGCTCTGGGTGACGAATTAATGTATATAAGAGTCTTAATTATTTTTAGAATTTACTATCAAGGTATAAGAGTCTTACTCTAGGGGTTCTACATAACGAATTACTTATTCTTATCATCTTCCTAATGCCGGAAAGTGAATTCCATACGAACACTAATGGGTGGCGCTATTTGGGAAGACATAGGCCAACTGAACTTAGATAAGGGCGCAACGTTTCTCCACTTTTTGTCTGAGCCAAATCAATTTGATATATCTCCAATTCCTGAAAAGAAACCCATTGCTAGCGAGAAACTATTGGACATTTCAATCCTTTAAGCGAGCATGTTGATATCTTGGTCAAAGTTCCTGATATAGTCCGCTCACTCACGAAATACATTACTTAACCTGACTGAAAAGAAATTGTTAATGTAATGATGAGTTAAAATAGAATGTAAAAATTGATATAAAAGTGTGGATGAATATTTGCGAGAAACCAAATAAGAACGTGGCGATAGACAAATGTTGGGAAACCCCTGAGGAAAAAAATAGAGAAAAAGGGGGTGAATAAAAAGCACGAAAGGAAAGTTATAGAGGAAAACCGAAGCAGTAACACAGCAAAGGCATGGAATTTTGTCGAAGTTGACATCTTGCTTGCTTTATTACTTACCATATGTTTTGAGTAATCATACTATTAATGATTCCCCGTGAGGTGACTAACTGTTTGATGGAGGACAAAAAGGAAAGCTTTACCATTAAAATACAGGAAAGCCTGGGGCCAAATTTGTTAGGCCACCCCGTTGCCTACAACCATTAATTCATTGAAATTTTACAGAAAGTCCATACCGCCATAGACCTTCGGAATATGGAGGCTTAATTGAAAGACGTCTTCTTCGAGGACGAGGTGTTTGGCAATCTAGGTCAATATGAACTCTCTCTTAAATACATTGGTCTTCTCTATTAAATCTGTTGAGAATATTACTTCTCCGTATGCGATTGAACAGCAGCTCTCCATCTACCACAAAATAAAACTGCAACTTTTTAAGAGCAAAAGATAACCTTGAGTACATAAATATGCTGCACTCCTACTGGGATATTGCTTTCAACACCATTCGATATATAATTTCCGCGGACAAAGATCAGTAACATTTATAAGCATTCCTATCATGAGATCCCTTCACTCATCCACACTCACGTGCACATCTATGATGACCAAAATCTACTGTTATTGACAAGATCTTAGTCAGTTATTGTGAATCAAGATGGGCACTCGTAGCATGTTCCTCCGAACTCGCTACTGGCTGGGTCGCTGCAATAGCTGCATCATAATGTCTCCTTTTTTCCCCCAGTAAAGATCGAATCGATAAAGGTAAGCTTTCACAAAGATCAGAAGTATACGATATGATCTCATGATATAGCTGAAACTATGCAGGTACTCAGTCATTGTCACATAAGCGCAGTCTTGATTCATTTGTATGCTGGGGAACAAAACACGTTTACCTGCAATCACGCTCAGAATGCTTCCTCGGGCAGCGCATATCAATTTTCTGGATGAATACGAGAAATGAAGGGTGATCATCCGTACACGTTCCATGACTTGATGATCACTGGCTCCACCGTGAAGTCCTTGCATGTATAATAGAAAAGTCAGCCATTTCTTTGATCTGGGGGTTGGTATTAGGAATGCTTCGGGGTCTTTGAAACCTTCGATGACAAATGAAGAGAGACCATTCCTACAACAAGCCGGAGATGTTTTCCGATCTTATGCTACCTCCCTTAACTCATTCAAGATGAGTTTATCGAGAACTATTCTATAGTTATGTGAATAGTAAGTGATTTACGCTGAAACATCACTATAACCCATCAGTCGTATGTGATACTCGTTTCCCCGGCGTGAGCATTTTTGTGGTTCATCATTGACTGTTTTTGAAATTAGATCAGCTTTAAGTTGAACTTTGAGTTAAAAAGATGCGCTTTCTCATTAAGAGATTCGTATTCATCGTGATCTTCGAAAAATGAGAGAATAATGTTGTACTATCATGAGCACAACACAAAGAATGCAGAAAGCTCAGAATGTGTGGAAGAATGTTTTAATTTCACGAGTTAAGGGATAGCAAGCCAGCTTCCCCTATATATATTTCAAGCTTTTCGCTTTTACTAGCCATCAATCACACAATCCTTGACCTCGATCACACAATTCATATCAAAAGCCATTCATTAGAAACTCAGCCCTAAATTCAAAATGCAATTTTACATCACAGTTGTTTTGGCCTTTCTTGCCGGCAGTACTACCGCGCAAATTAGAAGATGCCCCTTTAATGGAGGCAGTATTCCATTTGGTCAATATATCTGTTCAGGACCTCGCGTAAACGGATTTCCGGGAAATGGCATTGTAAGTTTTATTCAGTCATAGACAGACTCTGTCTTTCCTTGATAGATCATCAAATGCTGACGAGAAATCTAGTCACAATGTGCTATAAACGGGCAGATTGTGCAGATTGGTAGTGGGCCATGCCCTCATTACTGCAACTACATTTCAGGAATCCCATATTGCTTCTAAAGTAAGATGTCATTCTCCCCAGACTTGTGAAATTTGCTAATTGTTTGCAGTTTCTTATTGGCTGCAATTCATCAATATCTTGATGGTTAAAAATGGATTCGGCGGATGCATGGCCTGAACAGCGTTGTTTTATTTTTCATTCTCAGATTGAAGGTGGATTTCGTTCGGTATGGGACAAGTGAAGTAGGAATATCAACGAAATGGATTTTTTGGTGGATTCGAGTGAATCAGTTTGGGCAGCTTCTAGATGAATGTTGACTGACTCCCATCTCGCTTGCTATTACAAGGTGCTCGATTAACCATGAAATGTGATTCATTAGTCTGCCCTGACAACAATGGGTATTTTGATTCGAATGAAAGATAGAATGCATAGCACATTAAGGGGTCAAACATTGCTACAAATGGGAAAACGTACGAGAGATCGCTAGTGAGGTAATTTTAGTAGCATTGAATGTAAAGGCTTGGATAATTCACAAAACGAGAGGTGATGATTGTCAAATTTATCATACATAGTGTAGCGGCAAATTATACTGCTTTCCTCTTGATCAGAGTGCATCAAAAGGCACTAAATGTTCCAGAAAAACAGATTTGATATTTATTGATCCTTAGGCAGGCACGATAGAATTGACAAATATCTCCACATAGTTTTCGTTGCTTTCTCGCACCAATATGAACCGACAAATTTCGAGACAGGGCAGTCGAGGTAGAGACATCTTCTCAAAATTCACCATTGAGTATTCTGAGGCTGAAATACGGAACACCATATCTCACAAGCATTGAGAATAATAGGAATTTGCATACTTGCAAGTCCCGGATGCACAGCATTGAGAACCCGTAAATCCAGCTCCGCCACATTGGCTGTATAGAGCACCGCACTAAATCACATCGTGTATCAGTAAAAAATCTTTGGCATTCTCCAATTTTTAATCATGAGATAAAACTTACGGTGCCACCTGGCGATGTTGTAGGAGAAGAAGCAGGAGCCGTGGTAGTAGTTCCACTCCCGCCACCTCCTGTTGAACTTCCGACGGTTATATCGGCTGATCCACTGGAGAAATAACCTTCTGTTGCGACTATCATATAATCAAAAGAACCCATGTTCATTCCTAGTGCTTTCCAAGCATTGAAATGATTTCCGGTTGTTACGGTACCACCAGTTCGTTTTGATTGGCGAACAGACCAATATTGATAAAAGGTAGCAGTACCAATAATGGATGGTTGATTGACTCGTTGGGTCTGATAGATTTTGTCTGGAAGTTGTCATTATCAGTAATTGCGTGGCTAGGTATGAGACTACATTGACTTACAAGTTGCTCCGTCGCTAACCACGGTACCTTTCAAGGTAGCTCCAGTGCTTGGATCATATGTACCGAAATTCTCGACAACATAATATTCGATAAGAGGTGATGTTGTCCAGCCATAAAGGGAAAGATAACTGTTGCCACTTGGACTGTACGTGCCACTATAGGTGACTTCCCTGAGGGTAATTGAGATGAATGTCAGCAAATTCAATAGTCATAGTCATGGTAGAAGATCAAGAGAAGATTTGCACCAACCTAGCACTTCCAGGATTCCACCCCTTCCCACCAACAAGATTGCCATTTCCTGACCACTGTATTTTATACTCGCCAGCAGCACCATTTGTGTAAGTAACATCTGCGCCACCATCTGTCCAGAAGGAATAGTAGTATCCGCCTAATCATTAAGGTGAACATGAGGAGACTTACTCGGGGTAAGAGGAGTACAAACCACTGGTTCCAGTAGAGCTAGGTGTCCCACTTCGATCGACGAGTTCAACACTTGAGTTGGCTGGATATGCCAAGACCCTCGTAATAGCTGCAAGAGTAATAAGAAGAGCTTTGTATGATAACATGATGAACGTGAAGGACAATAATTTGATGATTAAAAGGTTCGAATGGTTGATGTTGAGCCTTGGACTTGATGGGGGAAATTATCTTCCTTTATACGTTGTGATATCGGCGACGGAGGCGAACTATCAGCCCAGTAAATACTAAATGTCACTCCATTTATCAATGAACGAATTGGGTGATATTTCACACAGTCCATTTGACCGAACGAAATGGGATATAGGCGTTATTGCATGTTCCCCGCAGGTGAGAATCATCGACAGTAACGTTTTTGAAGTTTACTAGTCACAAGATATTAGTGTTTTGGGTACAGCGTCAGTCATGCACCCCGCAATGCAGTGAAACGATCAATTATTACCTATTAAAGTAGATTAGACCCTACATAATAAGGATTGTATTGCCTAGGTAGAATTGATAGCAATATCAAGGCTCTTTGGATAAATTAGGCGGGTAAATGCAACTCTGCCATTGCCCGCAAAGCCGACTGTGATTGCGGATATTATGAATGCTGAATAACTCATTGCGTTATTTTCTGAAACGGAAGAAGAAAGTTTATTGGCATAAGAGGATTCATTCACGACCTAAAAACACAGAGAGATGTGTCGTAGCTTCTTGATTGGCATGCCTTGCCACCAAAAGCTAGACAAAAACAAGAGGTATGATTAATGAATCGCTGATGCCTAATCTTCACCTTGAAGGATAGCATACCACTTGATCACTCCGAGACTCATCAATGTCTTTGCTTAATCTGGATTGAAGCCTTCATCAAAGCCTTCATCACGGCTTAGAATTTCTTCATCGAATGCCATGTGGCTAATAAGTGGCAGTATAACAAGAGCTCGTCCTTTTCACCGCGGCCATAGAGAGATCGGCTTGAAAGTGGGAAAGACATCTTGGATAGATCTCGGAGACCGGCCAAATGAGTATCAAGGTTGACTCTTGAACGTGACTTTTCTCTGGCAGTGAGTGATAGAGCACCTATTCCCGTACACGCTTGTCTGGCATTGACTACAACCCGGCATTTCACAATACCACGCAGAATACATAAAAGGCCAGCCTTTGGAAGGAGCAGTTCCTGAGAAGAGAGAGAGCAGACGGCAGGAGAGGATAGATTAGTTAGAAGGTCTTCGCAGATATTCCAAAGCGCTCACTATTCTCGTGCTCAGGGCAACACGCGAGATTCAAGTGTTTCCATTACTAAGATCTGAGTGAGGGTTGCCAATCCATGATAATTAATTCGACTAAACGAGTAGAGTCGACTCACAATTTGCGTGCCTATCGCTAATGTTTTGCTGCATCTTCAAAAGTCTCAACGTCCCCCCTCAACTTTTTTCCTAGAAGAGCACCATGTGACAGGGGTGAAATGTTGTGAGTGAATCTTAAAGGGATGGGTTGAGAATGATGGTCACATTGCCGTACTCGTATCTTGAGTCAGGCCAGTTTCTAAGGTTACTTGAAAAGGGAAGATTGATGTAGAATAACCGGGAAAGGTGATGGACAGTTCGCTCCTGAACTGGTGTCTAAAATGCTGACAAGCTATGTAACGATCCAAACACTTGCCCAGAAACTGGTAGCCCGTTTAGAGGCCCAAATCACCGAGAGCCTAGTCTCGAATTCATAACAGTCGAAAGTAATCAGAAGTCTGCATGTAGCCACAACGGTCATTCAGGCCCAAGAGATATGATGTCCTTCTCCGGTTTTATACTCAGCCATTGAATTCTTGGAGTGGTTAGTCCATCTAAATTTGACGTGTATACCAAGCATAATTTTCGGCGAAGAATGCCGTCGTTCACTTTCCAAGAAGACAATCGCAACAGAAAGATAGAAAATATCGACATGGATCGAACGTGATAGGTCATGCTTTATTCTTAGGTATCAGCTCCAATTTAACTCCCCAATGCATATTCCCTTCAACCGAAGAAACAACAACACCAAACCGTTATGAAATCGTAAGAATCGTAACAATCATTTCTACTAACCCAATGATTTTGCCTAGTTTTGCAGTTTCCATCTATTGCGTCCCTTCCAAAAACGCCATACCAGCCAGGTTCGTAAAAGTTTTCATCGTTATACAATGATCTCCTCTTCGCTCGTTTCCGTCGTATTCCCATCACTAGCTTCCAATTCTCCGTTATGTCGTCCAAGGTCTGCCTTTTCCAACATACCATTCTCTACTTCACAAATGCCATCCAGCCCATTTGTTAGTTTGGCAGATGTTGATTCGGCCTCAGCCATAGCACTTCGTTCTCTGCGTGCTCGTTCCCTTTCTATCCTGCTTGCTTTGGCATCTTTCATCGAGATCCTGTTACCACTAACCCGACCAAATATCCACATTTGGATGACTACCATGACAGCTGTATATCTCCAACATAACGCATCATCTTCATGCATATCAAGTGCCCATTGCGAACCTGGGAGTGGGCCAAGACTTTCGAAGATCGGATGTGGAGAAGTTGACATTGTCGGAGGAGGTGGTAAGAGATGTGAAACGAAGGTATTTATGAGGTGTAATACGAAGGCGGGGTTGAGTAATATCCCGGGTATGAGATAAGTCGTCGAAAGGAACGTCATCTTGATTTCGAAAATGGAGGGAGAGGGAGAGGCTCTACTTTGGAGAAGTCAGTAAATGGATTCTCTCGGAAGGACCCGGACAAATATACGTTTTGCGACCACTCGTATTGGAAGCCCCACGCACTCAAGTACCTCGCCGTGGCTTGGAGTGCTCAAAGATGGGAGATACGTCGTCGTTGTACAATATCAGGATCCAATGACGAAGCAAAAGCAAAGAATTTTCGGGTTGTGCAAGTCGGGAGCTGAATGAGTTCAGTACATTCACTCGTTTTGTGAGAGGATATTGAAGGGATGGAGCAGATCTTTCGATGTTTGCGATGTGTGCAACTGGAAACTTTTGGCTTTTTTACCTCTCTATCCCAAGATCAAGAGAGAATTGACGATATGGGGATAGGCGACAATAATGGTATTGTGGAGGTATTTTGTATTCTCATCCGTTCGAATAAAATCAGAAAAATCAAGAATCTAACAGGACTGTAAGAATGATTCTGTAATCAATACAATATCTAGGGAAGAAAATGAATGAATGAATGAATGAATGGATGGATGGAAGAGAAGGGAAAGGAAGAAGGTTGAGGTGTTGTACAATTGATACAGATAAGTCGATTGTACTAGGTAAAGTAGGTAGGTAGCATGTATTTTTTTGTTTTCGAATCAAGGAAAGTACCAACCTACATAGGTATACCGTATCATATATAACCTTGGAACTTGATGTGTACAACTTTTGAGATTTGAGGACTTTTCTTAAAAGCTTGTAGAGTTCAGATAGAAGGAAGGGAGTAACAGAACAATTGAAGGTATAAATGTGCAAGGGAAAGGGAAAGGGAAAGATAGTAAGGAGGTAGAATAGATACGTAGCAGAGAAGTGTGTAATGGCCAATTTCCAAGTAGATATCAACTCATGTCATAGTAATAATACTGGGTATATACACAACGAGTTTCCATCTTCCGTATTCCACTCATATAAGGATTGCCAAGTACAAGTACCCAAGGATGTAGATATGGATGAGTTCAGTCGTCAATCGTTCTTCTTTTTCTCCCGTTGCACCTCCCTCTCGTAATCTATTTATGGTCTTGTCGTTTGTACATGCGATAGTAGGACCTAATATAAAAATGAATCAGTTGTGGGATTTGATGATGCATACTCGTATTTTGAAGTGCGCCAGTGGACAATGAATCCTTAGTAATAACATGTGGTGTCACTGGTATGTATGGACCGAGGTTTGCTCGATACGCGTATTGGATATTGTATACGATGTACAGGTTCTTCCCGGCATTGCTTGCTTGTCTGTATTACCGAATGAGGAGGTACCGGTAGTATTGTATGATTGCATACTCCGTATGCTCGAATAGCTTCAATTCTGTCATAGTCAAATCTGTCTAATTGAAATGAAAGACCCCTCATGTTCAAAGATTTTCGTCTGATTGATCAGATTACAAGTACTTACTAATGGATGGACCCAATGTACACGGACGGACCTAGGTAAACTTTGTACAGGTCTGAAGAATAGTGACAAGGTTTAAAAAATCATTGTTCAGCCTTGTACTCAGCCTTATTTGACCCTAGCCTAGCCACATTCTGTACTCACTTAGCACTTAGCACCGCCACATTGAAAGAATTCGATTGGACCTCTGGAGCCACGTTTAACTTTCAAATAAGGCTACTAGTCTCATCATTATTGAATCAGCGCAACTGTAATTCGGAAAGCGCATCACGCACTTCTTTTGACTACCTACCTAGGTACAGTTAATTACATTCAAGGGCCTTCGTTTCTTTCACTCATCAAAACCTTCATCATGGTATGTACATGTGTTTCTCGATTTACTTCAGAACCTCAGTCTAACAATCTTAGAACACTCTCTTCAATACCGCACTCAAACAATCCACCTCCCTTCGTCGAGATCTTTCCTCTCTCTCTCCACCCGAATCGCAACCCCTCACTCCATCTCTCCTCGGTCAAATATCCTCATCTCTAACCTCCTTTTCAAGAACTCTTGATTCTTACGCTTCCCTTCAATCGGCCGAACTCAATCCTTCCAAAAAGGAAAAGGCCTATGAACGATTAACTACCTTCCGTTCTGAACTACAAGATTATCGCTCCCAGTTTGCAACTCTCAAATCGCAAAATGAAGATCATCAAACACAGATAGATAGGAGTGAATTACTTGGAAGGAGGCCACATCATGCATCTACGCCCGAAAATCCTTATGCAAATACAACCAGTGCGGCCGCTGCTCGGGATAGTCCATGGAGACGAGAGGGTGGACCTGGTGGAAGTCAGCTGTCTATGAATAGTGGGGATTATACAAGGGAATCGCATGCTTTACGGGAACAATCCTTCTTTCAAAATACCCATAGTGCGTTGGATGAATACCTAGCTCGTGGACAAGCAGTTTTAGGCGATTTGGGACAACAAAGAGAAATGTTAAAAGGGACACAAAAACGATTGTATAGTGTGGCAAATACCCTGGGCGTATCTGGCGATACGATTCGCATGATTGAGAGACGTGCGAAGCAGGACAAATGGATTTTTGGAATTGGGGTGGTGATATTTTTTGCCTTTTGTTGGGCTGTCTTACACTTCTTGAGGTAACGTATTCAGTGCAATAGGGTCATCATCGGCAAGGGAGGAACAATCTTGATAGTTATGAATTTAGGTTTGGGAGTGTGTATGAATATTTGGCAACTGTCGTTTTCTTGGTAATATAAGCGTGGAGTCTGGAGTATGGTTCGGCTCAAAAAGGGGCGGCTGTTCGTGCGACGGCGAACGTCAAGCATCTCAATTTTGATATGTATAACGGAATATTCACGAATGGCTTTGACCAAGTTCTACAAACAGTTTCCTAGCTATGTCAGTGTCTTGGAAATTTCCTCGAAAGGTCTTCTATGTCTTTGGCTAACGTTCATGAATTGGAGTCATGAGATATCTCATAAACCAATGATGGAACGTCGAAATACAGTTCCCTCACCCTTTTTCACTTGTCATACTTCTGCTTCTCTTGAACACGCCCATTCCGTATACTAGCATACCTCGACTACATGTCTCCATGTCAGTAGTGACTGCAGGTCCAATTTGGAACCATCTCAGCCTCTTTCATTTTACGCTGAGTTTTTACGCCGCGTCGATTGATGTTTCCTCCAGGTCGTCTCGTTAAGGTCTTCGGTATCCGCCATTTCGCCTTCGTCAATGTCCTCATTGCCCATACTAGTCAAGATATTTTTCGCTATCTTTACACTTCCACAAGGATTCACATCCTTCAACTTTTCATGATTGCTTTTGCATGGCTCAATTCTCCAAGCTGTTTTCATCGCCTTCAATGTCGCTGCCGTTTGTATATCCATCGTGTCACATATCGTTTGGAATCCTCTAGAGCCATGCCTGCCATGCCTTGTCCCAATTTGAGGGTTATATTCACCAACTCTGTCGCCAAGTTCCTGCTGTATATTAGCTGGGAGAATTCATGTGGGGTTTAAATGCATACATCCTGATAGTACTTCCGTTTTTTTGGTATATCCATAGGCTTCGACATTCGTTCGTCTGAGATCATTATTGTTTGTGGTGACACTTAGTGGAGAGCAGAATTGTTGGATTATGTCTTGACTTGAGACGACGACCAGTAACGGCAAAACGCTATGAGCTTGAATTTCCACCGACCTTGCGGCCCGCATTTTACCGTGCATTCTACGTGTTTATGGGGAAAAGTTTATCGACCCAAAGCGTTGGTAGACTTCATGATCCTCTGCTCGTATCCAATATTTAAGCGCCGACCCGAGGGAACGGTAACAAATCACAGTGCTTATGGGATGTCAATTTTATATTGCTCCTGCACTAAGCCCTGATTTAGGAAAAGATTAACATGATATAGCGAATAACACTCTGAATAAACAAGACACGGGACATAGTGACTAGGTTATAGTTCCTCAGGATCCTGGTCATGATAAGAGTGCAGCTGGCGAACAGCGAGGTTAGCATGATCAAATTCATAACCCCTCAAAATCGAATTATACCGGGCGCTAAGATTTCTAGTATCTATGTGCATCGCGATCAAGATTGTTTTCAATTAGTTAGCTAACTTACCGCTATACCTATCACATTCAATATCTTATGCACAAACCTTTCCAATGACTGTGCATTAAACGCATTCCGGGCGGTTATTTTCTTTCGGTATGGGATCCTCATCTTATACGCACCATTATGATTGTGTTGTCACTTCTCATTTAGCTCAGTGATTGAGTCGAGCTCGGCGGTCAGAGTTGCTTGCTTCGCTATGCATATGAACATAATACCGCATGGTTGATTGAGGTGTGGAGTTCAGCCTCTTGTTTGATGTTGCGTGAATGCAACAGTTGGGTGGCTTGAAAATAAACAAATCCATACAATGTGAATGATTTGTTCAGGTCTAATGCGAAAATTTATTGAATAGGGAACCAATCGGAGCATTCTGCTTACTGCATTTCCTACTAGGTACCTAGGTGGTCGTTTATATATGGCAAGCGGGGATCCCAATTTTGTGCGACCATATTCTTCTTCGCTTTGAAACTTATTACCGTCGTCCAAATTTTCTGGTTTTCATTTGTGTTTAGAATAAATTAGATCAAAATGAAGATTGGATGTCTTCAATTTTCACCAGTTTTGGGCGATGTCGACAATAACTTAACTCGAGCCGATGCGGTCCTAGCTAAGGCAAATGTCCAAGACTTAGACTTGCTTGTACTGCCTGAATTGGCATTTTCGGGTAAGCCGTTTTTTGCTTTATCATAATATTGCCTGCTTTCTCTTTCGGCCTCGACTCTCGCAAAAGAAATCTTCAACTTGACTGCCCTCATTTTTACTATGACTGCATGTCAACGACTTTCACCGGCAGAGAAGTATTCTGTGCCCACAGACTATATCTGACAAGCACCGCATATTTCTGTTTACTCAAACTACGTTATAAATTATAGTTGCAATGAGAGAATTTAAGGCCGCTTACCGGTTGCCTACTAGGCTATCATCGCCCATCGTCAGTTTCAGCCATTGGGTGAACTCAATGTGAAGTCTGTCACAACTGCCATCTTTGAGTCGAATTCTCGCTCTTAAAAGTTTCAGCTGAACGCAATTCAGACATTTCTCTTCTGTCAAAACACCCATCATACTCGAGATCAGTATTCGTGTGATTCCGACGCTAATCAGGCACAGGATACAATTTCAAATCGCTTCAACACATTTCCCCATTTCTTGAACCTACTACATCAGGCATCTCTTCACTCTGGGCCCGGACTACGGCCCTCAAATACGAATGTGTGGTTATCGTTGGGTATCCTGAAAAGGTTGACATCAGCCCAAAATGGCCAGGTAGGCTACATTTTCTACCAAAATATCACGCTATCGATCATGTTGACCCGCTAATCATTCCCAACACCAGCTTCTCCCGAGTATTATAACAGTGCAATCACAGTCAATAAAGATGGAGAAACGATATCGAATTATCGAAAGTCGTTTCTGTATCATACTGATTCCAAATGGGCTTTGGAGGGCCCGGACGGCTTTTTCGATGGCGAGATTGATGGGCTTGGCAATGTTGCTATAGGAATTTGTAAGTGGCCAACCAAATCATTTGAACGTGAGTAAAATATCCGATAACACAAGAATCTTGCTAACGTTCTTCAAGGCATGGATCTTAAGTAAGCACTTTCATTTCTACCTTGATATGTTTGCTTCTGCTGACATTGCTCAAAACAGTCCATACAAATTCGAAGCCCCTTGGAGTGCTTGGGAATTTGCCTATCATATTATCCACAAGCAGGCAAATCTTGTCGTACTTTCCATGGCTTGGCGAACACGAGAAGATGTCCGAAGTTATAGTAGGCAGCCGAAGGAACCCGATATGGATACGCTTGCCTATTGGCTTGCGAGACTCGAGCCTGTCATTAGAGCGGAGCAAAAGGGCGAGATCATTGTGGTATTCGCCAATCGAACCGGTGTCGAGGATGATGCCGTTTACACTGGAACGAGTGCAGTGCTAGGAATTTGCGGTGGAGAGGTCAAGGTCTATGGTCTTCTAGGTCGAGGAGAAAAGGAGCTTCTTGTCGTCGACACCAGTATCAGACCAAAGGCCAAGCTCGTTGCTGACCCCAAGCCATCGTCTTCTGAAAAAACAGATTCAGAGACCTCAAAAGGTTCCCGTACCGCTTCTCCAGCGTCTGCTACACCGAACACGAAAGTCAAGTCGAAAAAGTCGGAATCTAAGTCCCCGCCAAGACTTGATCCGAGAATTCGAGACAAACGCGACAATTCTACCAATTCCAGCATCGACGAGATTCTGAACACTGTAACGCCAATCTCTCCAGTCGAGCCGATGTCTCCTCATGCATACTTCTCTTCGCTGGGAAAGAAAAAAGACAAATCGTCTGAGACACCACCAACCATCAAACCACCCGCAAAACTCGATACTTCTGTCTCAGGATCTGCTTTCGATCGAACTCCTACACCATTCCCAGATCCAAAAACTGCACCGAAAGATCCAATCAAATCTCCAATGCCTATACCGACACCAGTTATCCCTTCCAAATCTTCTGCAACTTCAAGTGGTCGACCTTTGACTCCACCAACATCTCCATCTGTACCGACACCTTCCAAAACATCATTTCGTCCTGTATCGCCAAAATCTAGGAATGCTAGTCGAACCAGACCTATAAAAGAGGAGCCTACAGTTCTCACCTCGCAAGAGGTCGCTCAAGATCCAAATATCATGTCATCAATCATAGGTATAATCGAAGAGAAGAAGCTCAAACCTAGTGTCGTCGTGGATCAATCCAAGGTACCTCACACATTGTCTCCAACTCTCAATAGAAGAAGTCTTTCTCCTCGGCCAAGCAGTACAGTATGGTAACCCATGTGACGACAGTGTGGGATCATGATAATGACAAAGAATTTATGATTTTAAATTTGGCTATGGGACATCTTGCATTATCACATGGCGACATCCGTTTTTATATCCAGTTTGCGAATCAAGTTACACGAATTCCCTCTCATTGCCGGCCGGAGATTCTAGTAACATGAAATGCTACATTTTCATTTCTATATAATACTTGTACATATTTCTCTTATCTTTCGTGTTCAAAACATTAAATTACTCTCTTATCATGATTACATACTTCATTCGCTATTTAGCATTGATAAGAACATTTGAACTACGTCCGTCTTGCGTCATAACATATATACTGGTAAAACCCCTTGATAAGCCACAATACTTTTATACATACGAAGCTCATATGCCACGAGAGGCAAGAAGAATACTTGAAGACACGTGGAACCCCATAAGAAAATAGTCTGGGGAAATCGTGGCTTTCTCTTGGATTAGGTTCCGGCTAATGAGCAGAGGGACGCTTGACAGAAGCTAAAGTTTAGGATTTCCCTAGTCATTACATTTGACAGATGATTGAAAGGGTGAGGAACACCCAAGGACGTTCACTCATGAACAATCTAGTCATACTATAATAATCAAAGTGCTTGAAACGTACAGTCCAAGTAAAAATTGACAATTTGGAACTCTCGAATTGATGTTGTCCGGTTAGACATATCCCATTTCAACTGACTCGTCATCGCGGCGTAAAATTTAAAGGGACTGAAGAGACCTAAGAAGCACTAGCTCGAACCATAACATCATGAATTATCTGAGTAGATTGTTAGTTCGAATCTAGATTAAGGAAAGTGTGATTTAGGGCAGTCCAAATAGGAATCCCTAGAAAATAAATATATATTCCCATGCCTCAAATATATTCATTCAGAACAATCAAAAGACCTAGACTTAAGAACTAACATCATCATTCTTCAAAACTCCATCCAATATGGTTATCAAAAATCAAGCAATGGGTAATCAGAATGCCTCTAAGGATACTTCGTCCGCCGAAGATATAGTTTATGACCCCAGGAAATGGCGAAATTCGCCTTATACTCGAGCTACTTCAGCTCCTTCTTTGACAGCAAATACTGGTGAGTTTTGAATTTAAATTTATCTTCCTATTCTCCCTTTCGGCGTTCCACATCAAGCTGTTGAATGAACATATACATGCCGTTCTCTATCTTGTATAGATTCAATCATACCAAGTTACTCTAATTTTGCAGATGTCTGTGGAATAGGCTTGCTGACTTCCCAAAATCGTAGGCGCGAACCAGTCGTCACTTAACGTTGGCGGGTTCGACTCAGCATCCAAACCTCAACCTCTGAAAGGAACAACTCGACGCTGCCCCCGAAGACAAGCTAAACTGCATCCAGGTTCGCATCTAACTACCGTCAAGCAAGGTCGTCTCATTAAAAAACCATTCGACCAAGATTATAAACTTCTTAGGGTTATTGGTAAAGGCGGTTTTGCATTTGTATGTTCCACCGAGGAGAGAGCTACAAACAAGCTATTTGCTGTCAAGATGGAATTGAAACATTCAGAAAAGGCATCATTACACCGAGAGTGGAATTTGCACAAGAAGTTGAATCACGCATCGATTCTTCGTGTTTATGATTTCTACACATACGCAGACGAATGCCCCAGAATGGTGATGGAATTAGGGCAGAAGACCATGTTCGACATGTTTGGCGAGAAAGAATACATCGAAGAGACTCGAATGAAAATTTACTTCAAGGACATTCTATTGGGGCTCGAATACTTGGTAGGAACCCCGACACAAGAAAGCCAATCCAGAAGTCGAAAAGAGTGTGCTAATTACATTTATAGAAATCTAAGAATATCTTGCATCGCGATATAAAGCCAGGAAATATGATTCTTGGGCGCGGCTCGGGTGGATGTATGATGATAGCAGACTTCGGCTTGGCAGACCATTTGGTAGGTGGCAGAAGAAACAAGAAAACCTCAAGGTGAGTACAAGATACCATACAAAATCTCAAATGTTATTTGCTAACTTTATCATAGAAAAGGAACATTGCATTGTAAGTTCTCATCCTATCCCATCTGAAATTGAGAAGATATCAATATTTGAAGGCACATTGGTGGTCCTAGTGAATCAAAGATTTCAATTTGATACTACCCCTATTTAAAGAGAGTCTGAACCGTCGAAACCCTGCCTTAACCCCCGTACCTCTGTACTAGTTGGTTACCAACTAGGGCACTACACTTGCTTTTGGTTCATCCACTAACTTATCAAGATATGGCACCGGAATGCTTCAACAAGGAACTTCAAATTACTGGTTTAGGATTCGAGGTAGACCTTTGGGCAGCAGGGGTCTCCCTCTTTCAATGCCTAGTGGGCTATCTTCCTTTTGATTCCGTTGAACCAGTGGATGACGAGAAACAACAGAGGAAAAATACGAAGTTGATGATTGAAAACGGCAAAGTGTCCCTAGATTTCGAGAGCGGTACGCTGGGTCAGCCTATCAGTCAAGAAGTAATCGATCTTTTGGCGGGAATGTTGGAAAAAGACTTTGAAAAAAGATTGACAGTTGAGGACTGTCTTGAATACGAGTGGATGTCCGGATAAATTTACTAGCATGTTACATAACACAACTTGAACAGCGTATGGTTAGGCTATCAGCGTTAAAAGATATCATTTAGAAACAATAAGAAGGCTTCATTAAAGACTGGTACATTGTACTCAAATCTTCATATTATTTTCAACAACTTTAACTTTTGAATCTTCCATCGTAACAACCGCGGAGAGTTGCCGCATTTGAAATATTCATATTGGGGCTTGATGACCCTAAGTACTATAAGTAGTTACCTCTCTAATGCCAGCCATACTTCAAAGTTGGAAGATACTCTCCTGCGTGGCCCGTAGGTTTATGGTGCAAAGACAGTAGTGTGAAATATTATGCAAATGGATAAATCTTGAAACAAATGGGTAGGACCTTCTCAACGATTGCAACAGCAACTCGGGAGCAGTGTGAAAGATTTTTGCCACTCAACTATAGAGAAAATTGAAGACGGATGGAATTGAAATCTGAGCGACCCAGATGAAACTCAACCATTGTGCTGCAAACCAGGAAATTCGTAATCGTGAGACAAGAAAAGGCGAATTGGATGGTTGGATTCTATCAGAAGACACTTAAATTCTGATACTTTTGAGAAACTCTTCTTCAAATTAATCCAATTGGAAGTAATTTTATCTTTATAGATCACTAATCTAGTTCATCTATTATTTCTCATAAGCTGTGTCATCTGCGTTGAACCGGAAGCATGGATCGGAGTTCTCAATTGCGTAAGACAACGCAGGAGAGAACAACAATAATTGTACCGAAAGTTTCTGATGGCTAATTATACCAAGTATTAGAGTCAAAAGACGCAACAATTCGGCCCGGACCGTGATCAAATCAAGACTATCATATTTAATGCTGTTGGACACTCATCCAAATGGATTGCTGATAGATGATTGTTCATGATCCGATTCTTTTGGGTGATAGTGAACCAGCCAGGCGATTATTTTGTTTTTACTTGTATATTCGAAAAGGGGTTTGAAATAAGAAGAGTGAAAACTAGGAAAGCGAAGAGATATCACCAAAGATTATTCGTGAGCTTCTTGGGTTCTTCTGAATCGAATCAGGAGGCCAACCAAAAGGTTTAACTTCGCGATTGTAAAGTTATCCAGTGCCAGCTATCTAGCAGTTGCTTCTTATATACGTACGTATATACATAAATATACATACCAGATGACTGGAAGCAGGATATCAGTAACGATGATCTGTATCTTTGATGGATGATTACTTGCTACCTCATCATTGCACATATTCTGATTATCAACACGCAAAGTATACAATGTTCACCTGTGGATAGTGTGTTTATATATTTGACATCCACGTAAAGCGTTGTGCCTCTCCAAAGGTTTCATCGTCAACATCGTATCTGGTTCAATCTCTTCACATGCTCATGACGTCGACAGTCACGTGAATATATATATATATATATATATTTAAACACGTGATCAGAGGTGGTGACATGGGTACTTGTTATCTCATCCTCAGACCATATAGTGATTACATAATTTTTTTGATCTTGATTTTGAGGCAGGAGCCTTCTGAAGGTTTATTATTATAGAATCTAAAACAATTTGATTCTAGTTTTGATAGGAAAATCAATAATTCATTATTTTTTGATTTTTCGATTAAAGATTATAAATTATTTAATAATTATATTATTTTAATATAATTTCAATATATAAAAATAGATTTTCTTATTATTTTAATATATTTTTTATTATAATAACTATTGAAAGATTAGATGGAAGAGGCCTCTATATTGACTATTTTTCTACGCATATAAGCATATTAATCCTCCTATAATATTATATAAGGGAATTAATATGTTTATCTATAATTTATTTAATTTAATCCATTTAGGTAATTGTATTATTAATCACTATATATATTTAGTATTAATAACTTCTATTCCTTTTAATACTTTTTTATAGAAATTATCATTTTTGATCTTTTCAATTTTTTGTATTTTTATAATCTCAATTCCAATATATTCTTAAATCTTTTGAATATTATTTTTATTAAAGATTTAATTATTCTATTTATTATTATACTTAATATATTAATATAACTAATTATTACCTTTTCCTTTTTAATAAAATTCTTAATAAAGTAATAACATATATTAATATACTTTGATTATTTATATAAATATAAATTCTTAATTAAAGCTATTATTCCTTGATTATTATCTAGTAATTAAATAATATCTCTATATACAAATATGTATTCTGTTTTTCTAAAATCTTTAAGTATTTGAACTAATTATTTCTTTTATTTAATAAATATTACTATTAATATATATTTGAACTTAATATTTAATATTATTATTAAATTCTGTTTTTTATTAATATATAATATTAATTCTTTATAAAATATAATAATTCCTTTAAAAATACTTTTCTAATTATATTAATTATTTACTCAATTTATATCAATAAAAACTTTTATAATATCTATATTACAACGGATTAGTAACAGGCTGTAGAATCACTAACTTATAGGCTATAATGATATTATAAACCTTAGTGATTCAGCTATAGTATACTAAGGAATATTAGGTATCCAAGAAAAGCCTTAAGTATATATATAATATTAATTATAGAATATTCTAGAAATCTAGAATATAATTCTTAGAATAATAGATTCTAAAAAAGATTAAATATAATAAATAAAAAGGTTTTATTAGAATTAATAATATTCTAAAGAATTAATTTTAGAATAAAAGAATAAATTAGAATAATAAAAATTATAGAATAAATATTATATAATCAAAAGCCAATTAATTTATCTATTAAATTATTAATTGATTTATTAATTGATTTCAATATAAAGATTTATATAAAAAATAGGTTTTATTATAATATAAAGCTTTATATTTAAAAATAATTATTAGTTTTATTATTATAGTTATAAGAATTATAATTAATTATAATCTTATTGAATTTCTATTTGAAATTTAGTTTAAATTATTTTGAGAGATTTCTAGATATTTTTATATAATTTTAGAAATAGCTTTTATAATATTTTAAATATTCTTTTTATTTCAAATATTAATTTAATAATCTATTATTGAAATATAATTATTAGAAATATTCTTATAAGATAATCTATATCAATAATAAATATTAATAATATTGAGATAAGTAATATTTTATAAAAGATTATTATTAATAAAATCCTTAAAATTGTTTTATTAAATAAATATTAAGATAATTAATAAAAACTTAATATTTTCTTTTTATAATTAGAAATCTATTTTTTGATTTAATAAAAATAAGTTTATAGCTATAGAATCTAAAAGTATATAAATTATATTTTATTTCAAAAAAAAAGTAAGTAAATGGATTTAATTATATTTATAAGATTATTTTGAATATAATAAATAGAATTATATATAATTTATTTAAATAATTTTTAATAATTTTAAAGAATTTAAAATAGAAATTTATAGAATCTTTAAGAACTCCAATAAATTAGAAATAATAAAAAATAAAATCTTTAATTTCAAATAAATAAAATTAATATTAAAATATATTATAGAATTCTAAAAATATATAGAAATAATAAAATAAAATGAAATCACTATTATAAATTATTATTATAAAAAACTCAAATCAAAAATCAAATTGGAATTAGAAAAATCTATTAAAAATATAAACTTAAATAATCTAATCCAAAATTTTATTAAATCAAATAATTATTTTTATTAATATCAATAAGATTAGAAATTATATAAACCCTAAAAAATTAAAAACAAAAATATTATTATAAAAATAAGAATAAATTATATTATGATTTATAAAGATATAGAAACCTTATAGAATTTAATACTATATATTACAAAAATAGAAATAATAATCCAAAAAAGAAATAAAAATAAGAAAATAATTTATATTTTGAATATGGAAAAATAGAGTATTAAATAACAGAATATCAAAACAAAAAAATAAAAAATAAAAAAAGCAATTTTAAGAATAAGTTTGATAAAAGTCAATTTAATATTATTTTCATATTACAATTATATATTATTAGTATAATAGAATTAGTTATATCACTATTAGCTTACAAAAAAAAATTCGAAAAAAAAATCAAATATCTTTTATAAATAAATAAAAATCTATAATTAAAAGAATTATAATTTATTTAAAAAATTGATTAATAGAATTATTATATTTAAAAATTTAGAAATATAAATAAAGAAATTATAAATAAGGATCTTAGTATAATAAATGCTAAAGAAAATAATTATATAAGATTTGATATATTAATTAATATTAAATTCTATAATTTGGGATTATTATAAATATATTATTTATAAAAAGAATTAATATCAATTATCTTTAATAACTAAATAAAGAAAAAACTATAGGAAGTATTTTATTATTATATATTTAAAAGAAATAAGAATCAGATTCTATTTTTATATAAAAAAGTAAAAAAAGAATATTGAATTTAAACTTAGATTATAATATCATTACTAGTTTTGAATACAATAATAAAAGTTATTTAAGGGAATTATTGATATATTCTATAAAGAGATTTATTAATAATAAAATTAAATCAAAAATAAATATTATTTATTTAAAAAAAAAAAAAGAATCTTAATATATAATATTTACAAATAAAATTATTCAGAATAATAAGAATAAACAAATTATATTATAACTGAATATTATAGAACAAATAGAATAAATATATTATAAAATCAAAATAAACAAATAAATATAATAAATTATATAGATTTAGAGATACTAGAAAATTTTATTATATTAGAAACTACAAAATATTTAGAAATTCTATTCTAAAGAAAACAAAACCTCTATTAATTATAATTAATTAATAAATAACTAATAGAATTTAATAAAAACATTTTATAAAAAAATATAATTAATATAAATAAATATAATCAATATTCAAAGATTATATAATTTAAATATTAATTTAGTAAATTAATAACAGATATTTTAGGAATATTCTAATGAAGATACATAATTCTAGAATAAATTGA